TACGATAGAATGTTGCAGGCGAGCGTGCAAATGGACGTAATTCCCATTAGGAAATTTACGTTGAGAGGAGCGTTCTCGGATCATGGCAATTTGATTGCAAACAAGATACGTGTAACATTTGAATGCCTTAATAGTAAATACGAGCATGTGTTTCATCTGGTGGAGCGTATGGCGTACGAGGTGATTTTAGGCGTAGATTTTTTGTTAAAATACGGAATAACGATAAGGTGCGGCGGAGTTGTCGGAAATTACGAGTACGTGTGCGAGTCGCGCGAGAACAGCGCGGACCAACAGCATGCGACCGTAGCGGCCCTAACAATGGAGGAGGCGCAGAAGGAACTGCAAAGAATTCTCAAGGAAAACGAGGAGTTATTCGATGAAGAGATCGGGAGAGCTCGACACTATGAACATACCGTCGATGTGACGTCGCAGGGCGCGTACAAGAAACGTACGTATCCAGTGGCGGAGAAGCATAGAGCGGCGGTGGCCGAGTACTTGCAAACACCCGAAAGTAAAGGTATCGTGGAGAAACGTACGACGCAGTATATTAATCCACTGGTCGTAGTAACTAAGCGCAATGGACGAATTAGAGTATGTCTTGACGCGAGAGAGCTGAATCGAAGAATAGCAAACGATCATGCGCAACCACCGACTATTGATGAAGTTTTTCGATGAATCGGTGGAAGAAAATACTTCACGACATTAAACGTGACAGACGCATTTTGGCAGATACCATTGGCCAAAGAGGCTCAAAAATACACGGGATTCATATTCAATGGACAATCGTATTTTGTAGAATGCTGTTCGGTTTGAAAACGGCAGGAGCATCGTTCACTAGAGCAATGAATATGGCACTGGGCGACGATCTAAACAACGGGTGACCAGGAAAAGAAGAACGGAACGGTAATCATTTATCTCGATGATGTGCTAGTGGCGAGCGGAACACTGGAGGAGCATACGAGACATCTGCGAGAGGTACTCAGGCGTTTGCAAGACGCTGGTTTTCGATTAAATCGAGAAAAGTGCGAATTTATGCGCGAGGAGATTATTTTCCTGGGACACAATTTCCGTCAGATCCGAGCGAATATGAACGATGAGACAAAAGCAGCTATAAAAAATTTTCAGAGACCACGTAACCGCAAGGCGGTACAATCTTTCCTAGGTCTCATAAACTGGGATCGTAAATTTATTCCCGGATTGGCAATGTTGACTAAGCCATTGGAACGGTTATTGCAAAAGAACATGAGATTTCGTTGGAACGAAGGCGAGGAAAAAGCGTTTAAGGACATCAAGAGTGCGTTCAAGGATGCGAAAGAGCTTTACTTAGTACGAGCAGGATACCGATTTGGCGTGTATGTGGACGCATCGACGAGTGGAGTCGGAGTGACTCTATACCAGTACGAGGAATTAAGACCGGATGACCGTTATACAGTAGCGTACGCTAGTAGGAGCTTACGCGGAGCCGAGCTGAATTATACGATCACGGAATTGGAATGTCTAGCGTTAGTATGGGCGTTACGAAAATGGCATACTATGTTGCTGGGGAGACACGTGCGAGTGCATACAGACCACAGAGCATTGCAGTCTTTAGAAACCTGCGTGTCGAACAACGCGAGGATAGCGCGGTGGTTCGCGTTTCTAAAAGAATTTGACTTGTAAATCGAACACGTGGCAGGTAAGAAAAACACTCAGGCGGACGCATTATCGAGGATGATGATAGGTATGACAAGCGAAGATCGTGGCAGAGTGGATCGCAAGGATGACGCGAGACGCATAGGTGTGATACAAAATCTAACAGACGGCATGGATACTGGAGCATGGATACCGGTATTGCAGAGAGCGCAACGGGATGACGAGGAGCTAATAAGGCAAGCACGGAGACAACCGGATATAGTGTATGACAGGGTTGCCAGATACTTGATAGGCCCTGTCGCCGGCGGGGGGCACTTGTGTCGCCCAAAAGTCGCCTCACCGAAACGTGCTATAAAAAAAAAAAAAAAAACCGGGAATGTGAACTGTTCGTTCTCTATTCTTTTAAAGTAATATAAGTATAGGTGAATCTAATGTACATTTATTGCACCTTATTGCATCGTATACATATATACGCTTATGCTGGATTCACACTGCATTAGTAGTACAGTGAACGTTACGTGCACTATATATTTTCAGCACTGTCAGCACTGGCATAAGGATACTGTTGTACCTCTCGGAGCAACAAGATATTATTTTGGGATTCGTTCCGCTCAAAGGGTTGGGACCCACGAGGAAAGACGAGGATAGTGAAAAGGTCGTCGAACAATCACTCACTTCACCACACTTCTATTTAAAATAACCCTTTTTATTTAACAATTTGATAATTGATTACAAATGTTGTACCCCTTTATTCGTATAATTATTTATTACTAAAGATTACAATGCTTTTTAGTAACTGTAACTTTCATTTAATTAATACAGTTGTTTAGTTAAATGAATATATTTTAAAGTTATCGCTCGTGACTTATGAGTAAACCGGTCGGCGACGGTATCGCGGATGTTACTTGACTCGGTTCTCGCGACGCGCGTAACGTATCGTTACGTTTAGATTTCAAGACAAGACTCTATCGCCGGTCCTTAGACCGCCGAATATATAGGCGTCGCGGAGTCATCGAACTAGCGGCATTCGTGCCGTGTGCAACGCGGACTTCGTCCTCTTGCATTTCGGCAGTTCGTTGTCCTGTCGAAGTGCAAGATTTGCTTTTTATTAATAATCGTTCGATGTGCGTACGGTCATTGCTTGCGTTCGATCAGTGATCGTTGTCCGCACGCGTTATGGAATTTGCAGCCTTGCATTTCCGCCAGCTCGTTGCTAGGCTGAAATGCGAGACTTAATTGTGGTAGCACTCGCGGGCTACAACAATACGTTTACACTGAGTGCGTCACGCGACGCGATGGACGACGTACTCGCTCAGTGAAAATGTACCTTAAGAGTGAGCGCTCGCTGTTTGTGAGCGGCGCTGCTTGCTAATGTTGTATTCTTCTAGACCTAAAAATCATATTGGATATTGGAATTGGATGGTAAAGGAGGTCTCGGCGCTGCCGTCGTGGCGGCGCCTAAAAGTCGCCCGAGGGAACGAGAAAATCGCTTAATTTGCGACATGTCGCTTTTGGCCTTTGTCTGTCGCAAATTCTCATTCCAAGTCGCCTAAAAGGCGACATGTCGCCTAATCTGGCAACCCTGGTGTATGAACGCGACGGATTATACCGTGTACGAGATCGTGAGGGTGATGGCGACAGAATAGCGCTGCCCAGAAAGATCACCCGATGGATATTGAAACAGGTGCATAAGTTACTAATGCATTTCGACACGGACAAATGCGTAGCGTTCGCAAAAAGAATGTTTTGCGGATTCGGAGTGGCCAGGGTGGCGAGAGACGTCGTGGCATCGTGCCACGTGTGCTTAGCGACAAAATACTATACGCGGGCAACTGAAGGTGAGCAATACTATAAGCTAACGGAAGCGCCTGGACATACAGTGTCGATGGATATTTACGGACCGCTGCCAGCCACACGAAACGATAATAAATACATACTGGTATTAATGGATCAATTTAGTAAGTACACTAAATTGTACGCGATGCCAAATCAAATGTTAGAGACAATCACGGAGATGCTGAGTGAGAAATATTTTCCCGAAGTGGAATTGCCGGAGACAATTCTAACAGACAATGCGGGTCAGTTTAAGACAGAACGCTGGCAACAATTTTCGAGTAATAACGGATTTCAAGCAAGACGCACATCGCCGTATAATCCACAATCTAATCCCGTCGAGCGGGTAATGCGCGAAATAGGGCGAGCATTGCGTGCATATGCGAGTGACCGACACGATGACTGGGATCGTGTGGTACCGCGGTTAGAGAGCGTATTGAATGCGACAACACATAGCAGTACAGGATACGCGCCGGACGAATTGCACGGAAATGGAAATATCGAGCTGGTCGTGCACGAGGATTTAATGCCGCGTGGACAAACAGAAATGACACACGAGCAACGTGTGCAGCAAGCATGCGAGACGCTAAAAAAACAGGCGGATCGTAGACGGATACAATTTGAGAAGACGACGACAGCACCAAACTATCGGGAAAACGAGTTGGTGTGGTGCAAAGTACATAGAAAATCGAACGCAAGTCGTCGTACCACGAGAAAAATGTATTTGATCTATGACGGACCATACAGAGTGAGAGAAGTAGTGAAACCTAATGCGTATTTGATTGAGCAGCTAAACGGAGTACCGCTGGGCATATTTAATAGCAGACAGCTATAGGTGCTTTTTCATGCGCAGCACGCTGCAGCAGCAATTCGTTACTATTGGTTAAGAATTTTATGTAAGCTAGACGACGCACTACCGGCGCAAAATACATTTTGCCGCAGTTCGTTGAAGTTGAACCGAACGAACAGCAAACAGCAAGCGGCAAAATCGAGAAAGCGTACAATATGTCCGTCGTTTCATTATGAAAATATTATTTATTGCAATAAATATTAGGAAAATAAACGAAAAATGGCTTCGGATAAGGTACGGATACATGTTCGTAAATTAGATCATTTTATACTTTATCACAAATTTGAAAAAGTAAAGTGTAAAGTATAAAATAATCTAATTTACAAACATTCGTACCTTATCCGAAGCCATTCTTCGTTTATTTTCCTAATATTTATTGCAATAAATAATATTTTCATAATGAAACGACGGACATATTGTACGCTTTCTCGATTTTGCCGCTTGCTGCTTGCTGTTCGTTCGGTTCAACTTCAACGAACTGCGGCAAAATGTATTTTGCGCCGGAAGTGCGTCATCTAGCTTACATAAAATTTTTAACCAATAATAACGAATTGCTGCTGCAGCGTGCTGCGCATGAAAAAGCACCTTAAGGCCACATAGACGAGCGGAATATTAAGACGAGTGCGAAGATGACCAAGCGAACGAGCATGTAGAGCAACGAAGTGTAGACGAGGTACGCATTAATATGTTACAAAGAAATTATGCAAACGAGCAGCAGAACCAAGAACGACGGAGGAGTAAAAGGCAAATTGAGAGGCAACAGCAGCGGAGAAAAACGATGGGGGCACGTCGAGGCAAGAGTGATAATGAGGCGACAATAGAAAACATGCATCCTAACGAACGAGTGAATCGCGAACAAAGGGGAGACATAGAGCAGATCCCAAGTGAAAGCAATAGTAAACGAATTACACGGCAATGGAAACCGAAAATGAAGCGAGCAAGGAGTGAGAAGCGACAAATGATAGACAACCGAAATGCGGAGACCGAAAGCGCAATGAAGCGCAGACCGTTAAGCGAAGCTAACGGATACAAATTAAATGCGAACGTCAATACAGTTAATATAGTTGTAGACGCGATGAAAACAACGAACATAAGCGAAAATATTAGTGAAGGAAGAATGACGCGTAGCGAGAAACGGAAGCAGCAACGGATAGCAGAAATGCGAGAGGTAGAAGCTCAGCGAAAAATTCGTAACAGATCCGAGATGCAAGCGGACGTGATGACAATGGAGCAAAAACGCGAAAACATCGTGGTGACGGATCAAACGAAGCGAGCGGTTGCAGAAACAACTAAAGCGAGCGAAACCCCGAAGAAAGTGTCAAGGATGTATTCATTGAGTGATAGTAAGAAACGTCAATGCAATGTACCGAGCGAGAAACCAAAAGACGGTGAGTGGTGCGAACCGAGCAATAAGGAGAAGGACGCGATAAGGAGTAAGAATGAAAAAGGTACCAGCTTAGTGAAGCGCCAATCAGATGCGAAACCCTGCGATCACGTGACAATATTCAAACAACGAGATAGGTCAAGGACGAATACGGAACGAAAGGCGGAGACTCCGAGCGAATTAACCGAGAGTAAACAGAGACAAGCGGTTAATATAGAAAAAGAGACAGCGAAGACGACGGAAAAGTACGAATCGACAAAAAGCGTGGAATCCAGCGAAGACACGAAAAACGCGAGACGCGGGGAGACCGAGCAGAGGGGAGCAGCCCGTAGAGAAGGGAATACAGCGCAACAGTCCCAATTACTTGCGATCAGGCAACCACAGCAGCAACGTACAGTGCCAGAGGTAATAGTGACAGTAGAAGAACAAAAAACGTGTAAGATGGAGACGCGTGATGATGATAATCGTGAGGAGCGCGAGTGGCAGACCAAACAATTACGGAAAAAATTGGCGGAACGCGAACGTGCGGTGGCGGCACGTATGCACGCGTACGCGAATCGAGCCGACGCGTATAGTGAAAGATGGCGTAAAGTGCAGCAGGATGAAGAGCGAATGGACGAGCTCGAAAAACGCGAGTTTCCGGAAATTGAACAATCGCGTGAAACACGGGAATCCGGTGAGGCGTTAAACAGAGCGCGCGAGAGAATAAACAGTATCGATACAAGGACACGCCGAGTAACAGATAGTGTAGACGTGCTGGCAGCCGACGGAAAGCGAAGAGCGTGAATAGTAGTGCAATTTGCAGTGACGCAGTTCCCTACGGGGCCATTTGCGGAAGACACGTACGAAATTACGTACGAGTATCGTGGCGGTCAAGTGAGACGTACGGCGGTCGAATTAAAATCGGGAAACGTGTGTCAGAGTACAACGCAGGCGGCTGCGATTGAGGACATTCCGCGATGGGCGAGTGCGTCCACGTTGCGAAACGAGTGTGAGGAGGAGATGCAGGAGCGAGAACAAGTGTCGGACAGAGCGTCTGAAATAACATTAATAGATTTGCGATCAGACGACGACGACGAGGCGTTACAGCAAACCATCAATATGGACAAGGACGTAATGTGTAGTGCCGATACACGAGAACTAAGTGACAGTGAGCAAAGAGAACGCGAAATCGTGCAACGGGACAATCGTGAGAATATAAGCACGGCGAACGAGTTGCAGAGAGAGGTGACAGAGACACAACCATCTGTGCTTGCGGGAGAGACTCAAATAGCCGCGTGTGAATATGAGTGTGTAACACCAACGGAGGAAATAAATGTAACAGAGACATCAAATGTAATGATCAATTCGATCAGAGCATCACAGGAGAACGGTAGCGAGGACGAGCGATCAACCGAACTCCGTTCATCAATTCTACCGGAAATATCTATGGCTCAGATCGAGCGGATGCCCGAATTGGAGGCATTACTGAATTTGGCGCAGGACGTAGCAAACGAGGAGGCAGTGGCGACAGCCGAGGAAACACTGGCTGGTCCAAATGAGCGAGAGCGAATAATGAGTAGCGAAAGCGAGGGCGAAAAATCGTCAGAGCTGCGTGAAGTTAAAAATCGCAGCCGAAAGAAGTCAAACAAACGGCGAAAATCAACAGAAGCTAAAGCGAGCCAGGAGGAGGAGAATACGCGGGCACCGAAGTGGACATCGAGGGGCAGATTTGCCTCCGAACGGAAGCGCACCAGGAAGGTCGCCAAGGCAGTTAAGAAGGCGTCAGAGGGCGAGCAGGCGACAACCAACGCTGAGATGGCGACGCGAGAAAACGTCGATGAGCAGCGGAAGGTCGCAGGTACTAGTAAGCAGTAGAAATAAAGCGGTATGCATCACAAGTTTTTTTTTTTGCGGAAGATCGCCGCGCGTGTTTCAGCTACGCATACACACGCATTGCGATCTAGAGGGGAGTGTGCGACCGGTGCCGAGTAGCGGCTCGGCGCAACTTGCGCTGCAAACACGCAGCATTAAGTTTAGCGTTTAGAAATATATAGCTTATAGATTAAGCATTTTATAATTAATGTAGTATTAAGATTAGTTCGTAAGTCGCGTTAAATTAGCTTATAGGTTAACTATAATATATTAGAAAAATGCCGATAGACAGAAAAGGGAATAAAGAGTCAATTCCCGTAAAGAGTTAGCGAACACGAGGGCTCCGTAAGACCGAGTATAAGTTTTTTTTTTGTGTGTTTACATAAGAGTAAAGTAGAGCTTATGTTTTGATATTTTTTTTCTCTTATACTCGAAAGAATAGAGAAGTTTGACCGAATGAAATGAATTGTGTAGAGTAGATATTAGCGTTTGGAAACGATTGAATAAAGTCGAGCGGATGAGTAACTGTGTATCAGGGATTAATAGTTGTGAACGATCGTAGAGTATGTAGGCGGGTTCTAGGTCAAATTTGAGTTTGAGCTTTTTTTGAGAAGTCAAATTTGAGTTTGAGCTTTTTTTTAGTTTGAGCTTTTCCCGTAAGCACTTTTGAGCTTTTTTTCCGTAAGCACTTTCGAGCTTTTTTTTCCGTAAGCACTTAATTTTGAACCAGGTTTACCAACGTAAAACACTAAGTGAAGGGTATGACGTCACAGCAGGGCGAGGGTATGACGTTACGGGGAGGGGGTATGACGGCGAGGGGTATGACATCACGGGAGGGGGAGGATGACGCAGTAGGGGATGACGGGGAGGAAAATGACATCACAGGGTGCTGACGCATTCGCGCGGGAAGAATTGTGGTGGTCACCGTGGGGTCAATGGGCGCGGGGTCCTCCGAACGCGGTAAGCTAACGCGCGCGGTCCTCCCCCACCGCGAGGTCCGTCGGGTGCGGTCCCTCCGGGCGCGGTCCGTCGCCGCCATCGCGCGCGCGGGCCGCCGCCGCCGC